GCGTCCTGTGATTTGAAAAGGATTGGATGGGATTGGCTTGGCTTGGATTTAGCAGCCAGCCGACACTGATGTCATTTGCAGCTTAGCCGACATGACAGGAGCGTTTTGTCAGTCGGAAAAATCAAAGGCCCTTGCTCGATTGTTTCTGCTGAGTCAGTGGGTGGCTTAGGGACTTGAATTATTTGCAGAAACCTCGACAAATAAAAGAGCAGGCGGCTTAAAGGACACAAATGAACACACAACGGCGAAAAAAGCGTCTCCCCGAATAATTCGCTTCATGTGAAAAATGACAACCGTCGGCTGGGCTTGATTTGGTTTATAAAGCGTTCGCCGGAATGTTGTGAGCTCCCCCCGGCTCGGAGGTTCGCCCGGAGGCCAATAGCTGACTGGGTGTAGGCTGAATAGTAATGAGTCAGAGTCGAATTGACATCCAACATTTCTTGTGTGGCTGTTGGGCGGCAATTAATGTGCTTTATGTCCTGTCATATTTCCAGTGTTCTGCCAGACGTCTCCTATCGCTTGAGCAGAGCTGTCAGTTCGTCCTGGACGTTGACATTGTCTGGGGGCGAAGGACAGAGTTTCTTGCCCCCTCTGTGGAATCCTTCCCCCTGCACTAAGCCCACTAATCGAATCCCCGTCGAACTTCCAGCCCTCGAAACTTTTAACTGCACCATAAAGCAATTTATTATTCAATATTTGTTTGCCGAAAGTTTTAATTACAAAGTTTCGCCGCAAATTAGATTCCGCAGCGAAACTAGGGCCCCAAGATCCGGGTATCCTGCTGGTCCCTGTGCCTGGGAGCTAATTAAAGTGGGAAAATATCCCAATGACAGGCAGTTCCAGGGCGAAACAACAAGTGCGCTTAATCAATCAGTGCAATCAAGCATAAATTGTCTTAAAACAAAGCCTGGGCTAAATATTGTGATGCCATTAAGAGCCGAGCTGGCCTGCCGATGGGGGAGCGGAAGTGGCTGAGGCGGGTGGGGCGGAAGCTGAAGCAGCTGCAGCCGCAGGAGGCAGTGGTGGAGGCAGAGCCAGAGGAGACACACAAGCCGAAGCCAACGCCACTTAAGCTTGTGCAAACACAAATGCCTGCCGGCTTCGGTAGTGGCTCGTCCTTTCCTCACCGCCCTATCCACCGCACCATACTGGCACTCCATGTGACAGACAACCTCTATAGAAACCCATCGAGAAACAGAGAACCGAGCCATCTCCGACGCCGACGACCCACCCGGAGTGTGTGTTATCAAATTATGCAGGAACGTTATTATTGCGGCTTGTTTCGTAGAATATTTCGTGTGTTTTCGATGGCGAAATTGAATAACAAACACGCCGCACGAATCGCCCGCCGGGGGCGGCAGACAAAGTGGTATTAAATTGCCACTTGAAGCTCAAAACCTCTGCCCATGACTGTGTGTGGGGTAAGCGGTTGACACATGAGAGAAATGAAATCAATTTCGCTTCAATTCCTCAGATGAAACGTCGGAAATCATATTTAAATTGTTCAGCTTAGCAACTGGAGGCTTTGATCTGAAGAATGCTCTCCAGTCTCCTTATCAGAACCATTATTAAAACCTAAAGACAGTTGCCGTAAATAATTAATAGCTAAGAGTTGTAAGAACGCATAAGGACTCTTTTCTTGTCAAAAAAGCAATCCCATTAGTCGTTGTGGAAGATTCCCTGAAGTACACCCGCTGTAGGCAGACGTTTATAGCGATTCCCTCGTCTAGCCAAGCCAGCCGCAACACAAATTCCAGCCGGGACACAAAACAAGAGCCAGGTCAGGACCCCGAATGCAACTGTGAAAGCCGTCGCTTTCATTTTGCAGCTCTGGGAACCACTCTCGGGCTGAGTCGCTGAGTCGCCGCTGCATTATGCTGTCAGCAAGCACTATTTCAGTCAACATTGTTGACATTTATCCGCCTTGTTGGCCTTGTTCGTGGGAGACGGGCGGGGCACGGCAGCAGTCAAGAGGTCCTGTGAGAACGGCTTACCCTCTGAGCGCCTGGATTGCCAGCCAGAGCAGAGGAGGAGAATGTTGAAAGTTAAGTGGTAAATTGGTTATTGTGCTGCATTAATGGGCGGATGCCCCAGGCTGTGGCTTGGACCTGCTCCTGGACCTGGCGACCCTCTCACGTCGTCCTCTGTCGAGTCTTTTAATTAAAGGAGAAGCGGCCCTGGAGCACCATTGTTTACTTTGTTGCTCGGCTCAAGATGAAAGTTTTTCGATTGTCCTGCCATGAGTTAGGGCCAAGATTTTACCAAGAATCTTTTTGCATATTGAGTTCCTCCTGTTTGTTTGTCTTCTGATCAATAAAGCACTAAGTTCTCAAATTATTTTCAATAAATATTGACTTACACTGTTAAAGCGGAAGCCAACGGATAGCCTTTTGTAAAATATTTGTTTTCTATGGATGACACATGCTCTCCAATCAGAATACAAACGGGCTCCTGGGCCTCGATTGCAGTTTACCCTTCCGATTTGCCCCTTTACAAATAAAACGATTTGACATTTTCACATTAAGGACACTGGCCAGTAGCAATGTTTTCCAATTTGCATGGCAGATTCGAATGCTGCATAGGGATTTTTGGCTGAAAAGCATCAGTCAAGCTTTAAACATCAGCCTCCCTGTCATGTATGTCATGTTTAGGGTTCATACATCGTATTACTTGGATATTCATTGCCATGCTAGTGCAAGTACCTCATACTTTGTACAACGACCCTGCGACTAGAAGGGTCTGTGCATTTAAATAATGCGGCTTATGAAGCTCATACACCCCCAAGACACCCCCAGAGAGCCAAAAGGACAAATTTCCTCGGAGAATCGCCTCAGCTGAAAGCTTACAAAGTGCAACAGCCTCGTCCGCTTGCATGTAAGTGGGTTTCGGCTACGTGACTTCCTGGTGGTGCCCCAAAAGCGTAGCCGCTAAGCGCGACTGATGGAGCTGCGTCAAAACTGCAGCGTTGCAGTTGCAAATTGAAAACATGAGCACGAAGCCGAAGGTGCTGACACAATCAACTCGGCGCCAAACTGCAAACTACAAACTGGGCTACAAACTGGCCGCAAAGTTAGCGGCCCCCTTCCCCGCGAAAAACAAACCCCCTCCCCGGCAAACCGCAATTTCCATTGCACGCACGCCATGTAATAGGCACTTCCGCTAGCAAAATGGCAACAATGTGTCGGGATGGAGCCCCTCATTTCGAAATTTAAAACGTGCAGTTTAATATTGTGAGTTATGAGTATAATCCCAAGATAGATGAAAGAGCAGTACAAGTTGTTCAAAAACCTCTTTGATATTAAGACTTTTAAATAATAAAATAATCAAATATTTACACGATGTATTAGTTATTTTTTCAAGTGCATGTTCACCCTGATTTTCGTCTATTTACGGCCGCCCAGGCAGGGGGGATAAAATGCATTTGCATGTGGGTGCTCCGGGCACTAGTCCGGTGCTAACCGCAAGTCCGTTCAGTCATTTACATGTCCCGACTCCGGCTAATGACGTGCGCTGCCCCGCAACGCGTCCGTAACCCCACCCGCAGCCCGGGAACTGATGCTCGAAATGGAAACTAGGAGCTGGGAGCACGGACACGCGTTTGCGGCGGCACTTTAATTAAAAATAACTACCGCCGCAGGGCAAGCCACCTGCAAACGCCACCTGCACACGCTTTTAATCAAAGGAAATATGAGTAGAGCTCTCGCGGCTTTTAATGATTCTCTGCAGGTTATCGCAAGCATCAGCGAGTTCAATCTTCGCCCGAGGATGGGTTAGTAATCAGGGCTTAGTCCCGCAGTGTCTAGGCCAGTATTAAGTAACGATTTCCCACAAATAACCCTGTAATTCACAAACAGACCTCCTTGTCTCGCTGTTTATATATTAATTACCTTAATTAATTGCAGTTACCTTAATTCACGATTTTATTCTGTGTTTTATCCTTTTTAAATACACTCTAGTTGCGCGAATAAGCCTTGAATTATCGAGTGCTGGCGTTGGCTTCATTTTCGATTCATGGCTCGCAACAAAACGGCGTGCCTATAAAAGGAAAAAATTTGTTAGCCAAAGAGCGCATTAAACTCTTAATCTTTAGTGCCGGCATTAAATCCCCAGTAGCAACTAGCTGAAGGGCCAAGAGCCGAGAACAAAGCAATTTTACACGCCATCTCGGCCGCAAAACAAACAGGCTGGGGGGAGCAGGGTCGAGAATTTATCGCCCAATTTAAAATTGCAAACGAGCGCGTGATAAGGTCCTGGAAACTTGTTCTTGTTTTGTGCACAGCTCTGGCAGGACAAACAGTGCACTTTGCATGAAAAGTCATATCTGGTCAAGGTGGGAACTCAAGTCGGAATGAGCTGGCAAGCCCGGCGTGGTGATGCTGCTTTATGACAACATGGCACAAGATTGGATTTGGTCTCTTTGGCTGCAAATGCGCTTTCCGGCAAATGTCGAGAGGCACTTCCTCGTACACTCCCAGAAATGGCCATGTTGTTTGACCTTCAACCTCTCACTCCGTTGGGAGACTTTCTCTCATGTGTTAGTTACGATCTCCTGGCATTTGCATTCGACGCCAGTTGCAACTACCTTTTGTGAATTTTTCTACTTTTTTCCCCCCAGGGCCATAAATTTGGAATCCATTTAAATATATTTCCATTCTGCGAGTTTCAGAGAGGTGTTCAAAGGTGTTCGAAGAATTCCAGAGCTGAGGGAATACTTAATTTATAACCATAGAATAAATCCCTTCAGGACTTGGAAAGGGAAGTATATTCCTTTCGTTGCTAGGACTGAAAAGCTGAGTCTAATCTTAAAACCTTTTAAGAAATCGATAGAGGGATATTGGGGACCTTCACACTTAAGTTAATGGCCCGGGTTTGAGAGCTGTTCTGCCAGGGGCTGCCAGTCATTAGCGTCTGGCGGCAAAGTTGCGTCTAAACTTTCCATTTGTTCCATTTAAGCCCGGCCCTAATCCTCAGCAAGCACTAACTTTCTCCTTTGATTCCAGGTCTCCACAATCAAACGGAAAGATCAACGTTTACCCGGGGAGTGGACGCACTTAAGGTCTCCGGCAGTGAAACAAAGGAAGAGCAGGAGCGGCGCAGACGTGCATGAAGAGGCATCGGGCGATGAGCCTGGCCCCAGTGTCCTGCACCCCCCACCTGCCCCCTAGCACTCACGAGCAACAAGTTGGTTAGGAAATCCCCGGATTCAGCGACTCCGGAGTCGTAAGTGGACGAACGTACGTGACTTAATCAGAGAACGCGGCGGGAGGCTCAACCCGGCTAAGCGGCTATCTGGTATCTGGCTATCCTCTGGCTAACGAGGATACGACAAGGAGAGGGACGAGGAGGTGTCGTCGGTGTCGCCATTTTACCCGCAATGGTTTTATGCACGGCGCACTGAGCAGCAGCAACATGACAGATGTGTCAGCGCCAGCTGGCGGCGCCACTTCTCCGGTCGACATAACCGCTAGTCCGGGCTCCACCGCACTTCCTCCAGCCGCCACCCCGTCGGCAGCGGCTTCTGGGTCCTCGCCCCTGGCCAAGCCGCTGACCAACGGCGCCAACAAGGCGGCCACAGCAGCATCAGGAGCAGACGAGGGCGCCTCCGGAAGTAATCAGGTCAAGCAGGAGCAGCGCCGACAGAGCAATAACAACCGACCTGCGGCGAGTGGTACCCCGGAAGCCAGGCAGGCCACACCTGCTGGCCATTCCGACCCGAGCGCCGGCCCGTCATCAAAGTCATTCAGCATCCAGACCCAGACCAGTCAGCAGGAGAAGCCTGGCAGGCCGACCTCTGCGGCCTCCCAGCATGACGTCGACGAGGTGGCCCGGCTCTTCGAGGAGAAGCCCGAGGCCTTCGAGAAGTGGTTGACGGAACGGGCGCCACCAGAGGCGCTGGGCAGGCTGCAGGAGTTCATCGAGAGCCGGAAGCCGCTAAAGCGACCCTCGGTCACCTCCGATCTCTTCCAGCAGTGGATGGCTGCCTCGCCCACCGTGCAGCAGGTAGGGAACATTACTAGCTTGCAAAATCTATTATATTTTATTAATTTCTTATCCTAACTTATCAAGATATAAAATAGCAGACCGCAGAGTTATTATTTCGTTTTGGAAAAGTGAGAGAGGTATTTTGATTTCCCTAATCCCATTCATCTCTGCCCAATCGGATGCCGAAACTAAAATCAAGTTGTTCTAGCTCGGGCCCCCATCCCCAATTAGTTTTTGTGGTGCAGGACTGCTCTGCCCGTACCACCCATGGCACTACCAGCCATCCACCTCGTCCTCGCCCGCCAATCGCTCGTCAAACAAGCCAGCCAGCAAGCGCAGGACTAACTGCGAGTGCAAATGCAGTGCCAAGTGGCACTGGGCGGGGGACTGGGCCATTCTCGCCCACACAGATATACTATACACTACAGTCCCTGGGCTCTATTTGCCCGTCGCCCATCTCCCCGCCCCGTGTGTTTGTTTTTCCTTGTTTTGTGCTGTTCTGTTGTACTTTTGGCACTGCTCCTCGCGCCCTGGATTTCCGCTTTTGTTTAACTTTGCCAAGCTTTCTCGCGAGCGAATTAACCAAATTGATATTTTCACAATTTCGCCTCCCGCCCCACAGCCTAACTTGCCACTGCGTGTGCTGTCTGCTAATGGGAAACACATATTTCAGTGTTGTTGCCTTTCACAGTGGGCACAGTATTATATTTAATTCAGGACTAAAATCGAACCGCATATTCATTGACAGCGGGCCTGGCCAGGGCTTTAAGCTACTTTTATTCCATCCATTTATTGGCTTTTATTCTGTTTATGGGCTTGATGCTTTTTAATAGACCCTTTTATTTAATTGGCAAATTACCCCCAGCAGAACTTGATCAAGCAACTACTATTTAAGCTCCAAAGAAGACCTGTGTTATCTCAAAACACTTGTCCCAAAACCACATAAGCCCCTCACAAGCTTTCAGCTGATAGAGGAAACTAGGCCGCTTCCCAGGCAAAGCCAAGTAGAGTCAAGTGTCCTGCTTTAATCGAAAGAAACACACAACACCTCGAAAGACAGAAGTTGAGTCCTTTCCGCAATTGTCTGGCTTAGCGAGTGCACTTTTTGCAGCAGCTCCTTCCGCCTTTTGTCGATATTGTCAATTTATTTAAGTGCAAGTTACGCAATGCAATCGCAGCTCTTTCGGGATTGCCGTGCTTGCCCCAAAATGTATCTCGGAGTGTAGTTGTATCTGAAGCACAGCCGGGCGCTGAAATTTACATGGGACGCAGGACGGAACGGCTGGCCCATTAAGACTCATTTCGATTTCGTGTTCATGCTTTCGCTTTTCTTTTGCAAAAATAAAAAGGAAAATAAAAGCAACATGAGTGCTCAGCATCGTCTGTTGACTTTATTGCTGTTTCAAGGCAAGAACAACAGGCGATTCCTCCTTCTGAAGTTGAAATTCACTTAACGCTCCGCCTGGCTTGGCTTTTCGTTTTCATTTTCCTTTATTTGTCTGGATTTTGTTAATGAATTTGCATTATGGGCCCCGTATGCAAACACAATTTGTATTCTCTTTCATATTAATGTGACTCGTGTTTTAAGGACTTTTAAAATAAAACCTGGCTTGAAAGAAGCTGTATTTTCTGCCCGTATCTGCATCTAAGTGAGGAAATATAGTTATTCTGTGAAGCTAGTAGTGCCACCAATGCAGGGAAACCAAGGAACACTAGTACAAGATGGCAATGACAATAAAATGTTTTCACAAGTGGCCTACTTATTTTTAAACATATAGCAATTATCGATATTCCAGGGAAATGTTGATACACCCGACCGTAAATTGCTTTAATTTGTCAGTGAAATGAAAAGGAGTGGGTTGCCAGGATGAGGACGTGGCACGCAACCGGCTCCCGGCCCTAGCCCCCTGGCTCCCCCGTTAATTGGCCTCTCGCACGCACAGGTCAGAAGTGGGTGTCTCGGCGCCCGAAGGCCTTTTTGGGTATTCAATTACCACGTGCCAGTCCCGCTGTCGGAGCAGGGGCAGGGGCTGGAGCCAGAGGACCAGCGGAGCCGCCTAAAGGCACAACTGCCAACTGCTGCTAATAGTCACCCTTTGAACCGCACCAAGTTAATTTCCAATGAAACCCCTCGCCGGGTTAAATGGCCAGAAATCGAAAACAGAAATAATGTAATACTCTGTGGCAGAGACAATGGCACTTACTGCCTCGATACACTGTATTATTTTTAATGAAAATAAGTGTATTTATTTATAATGAAATTAATTATCTGTTCAGCCCATATGAACTAAAGTACTCCCATAATTATGCATAGCTCTCTATTATTTATAAGAACTAATCAAAAATAGAGCCAGATGTAGCTACATTGATGTTGGCATAAGTATCTCATTAAGAGACTATTTCCAGTGTACCACTTTTCTGTTCCGAAACCAACTAAGTCTTCCATTAACGTTTATTGCATGTGTCCTCGCCACTATCGCCGCCAGAAGTCGCCCAGGAGCCTATCCAACTCGTCGGCATCTTCGATTCCCGAGAGTCGCCGACATCTGATGGATCTGGACGAGGGCGAGCTGTTCATGGAGCTGATTCGTGACGTGGCCAACGAGCTGGACATCGATGTGCTCTGCCACAAAATCCTGGTCAACGTCGGCCTGCTCACCCACGCGGACCGGGGCTCGCTCTTCCTGGCCAAGGGCACGCCCAACAACAAGTATCTGGTGGCCAAGCTGTTCGATGTCACCCAAAAGACAGGTGAGTTGCGAATGCAAAATGGCCATTGGCAGAGATCCGCCTCTGGCCCAGGTAATCCCCCTTTAATTAAGGCGAACAATGCACAAAGCGAACTGCATCACAATGGCTGCCGGACACAAAAATAAATGAAAAATAGAGATGGCGGGTGGCGACTGCAAAAAGGGCAATGTAAGCCAGCAAAGTGCTTGTTTTGGGCCGGGCTGAGGGCAGGATAAATTGGCTATGATTCTGTTCAAAGAGGTAGAACATTGTTCGGGGCATCAAGATAGACGGAAAGTAAATTCCATTCAGAATATAAATGATGGTTTTCCATTCTCACTCGGTCTTAGACTCAGAATCCTCTGAGCAAAGAATGAATTCCAGATTGACTTTGACTTCTCTTAAAAGCGTTTTAAAATGCTTTGTCCAATCCTTTGGGCGCCTGGAAATTGGCTCTCATTAGCGGCCGAGCAAATAATCCGTCCCGGCCTGACCAAAGGGAACGGCAAACGCATTAGCGAAATTAGACTTGTCCGGAAGCGGGCATTAAAAGTTTTCGGTTCCTCCGGCCGAGACTGGGCCATAAAACTCTAAAGGTCGCTATCAAAAGGCAAATAGATGGTGGCAGGAACGTGTGCCAGAAAAACGCACACACATTCGCAACCGTTTGGTTCTGGTCCGCCCCAAAAAAGGCAACATTCAAACACCCAAAATATTCATACAGGAATACGTTACATTCGTAATGAATCAGTGGTGCAGACCCTTGAGCAGGAGCCTCCGCTTCCGCTACATAATTCAGCAGGGAAAATGCGAGAAAGATTAGAACTGGGAGTGTTTCCACTCGGGGGAAGCCCCGAGCCCAAGCACCAGCCCCAGCCTCGACCAGATACAGATACTCAGATACAGATTCATGTGTGCGGTCTGCGGGACTTTGGTATTATTATTGGGGCGGTGCCGGGGAACTGCTCATGCAAATTCACATTTGACTTCTCGCCCTCGGATTTTGGGGCTTGCCATTATTTATGTATATTATTTTCTTTGGCTTTGGCTTGTAGAATCTTTTCGAGCTCCGTTTTTCAACACTCGCATGGCAAAGTGAATACATTAGTCTATAAATTTAATATTTATTAGGCTGCAAGACGGGCTCTATCAGGCATTCAATACGATTTTCACGGTCCAAATACTTTTTGAACAAAACATTATATTGTATGGTTTCAATAATGGACTCAAAAAAGAGAAAAAAAAAACTTTTCTATAAGCAAAGATACAGCCTTCGTCGTGGGCCATATGGGGCCTCCATGCATTTCTGAAGGGGATACCCCAGAAAATGGAATACAAATCTAAAAAAATATTTCGTTGTTAGATTTTAATGCAGATTTGTGGAGAATCGATCTACGAATTATTTAAGGTATTCCCCGGTGGAATCGGATGCTTATTGGCAAAGATACAGCCTTCGTCGTGGCTCATATGGGGCCTCCATGCATTTCTGAAGGAGATACCCCAGAAAATCGACTAAAAATCTAAAAAATATTTCGTTGTTAGATTTTGATGCAGATTTGTGGAGAATCGATCTACGAATTATTTAAGGTATTCCCCGGTGGAATCGGATGAATATTGGCAAAGATACAGCCTTCGTCGTGGCTCATATGGGGCCTCCATGCATTTCTGAAGGGGATACCCCAAAAAATCGACTAAAAATCTAAAAAATATTTCGTTGTTAGATTTTGATGCAGATTTGTGGAGAATCGATCTACGAATCATTTAAGGTATTCCCCGGTGGAATCGGATGCTTATTGGCAAAGATACAGCCTTCGTCGTGGCTCATACTGGGCCTCCATGCATTTCTCCATGGGGATACCCCTGAAAATTGACTAAAATTCTAAAAAATATTTCGTTGTTAGATTTTGATGCAGATCTGTGGAGAATCCATCTACGAATCATTTAAGGTGTTCCCCGGTGGAATCAGATGCTTATTGGTAAAGATACAGCCTTCGTCGTGGCTCATACTGGGCCTCCATGGAGAAATTCCATGGGGATACCCCAGAAAATCGACTAAAAATCTAAAAAATATTTCGTTGTTAGATTTTGATGCAGATTTGTGGAGAATAGATCTACGAATCATTTAAGGTGTTCCGCGGTGGAATCGGATTCTTATTGGCAAAGATACAGCCTTCGTCGTGGCTCATATGGGGCTTCGATACATTTCTGAAGGGAATACCCCAGAAAATGGAATAAAAATCTAAAAAATATTTCGTTGTTAGATTTTGATGCAGATTTGTGGAGAATCGATCTACGAATCATTTAAGGTGTTCCGCGGTGGAATCGGATGCTTATTGGCCAAGTTACAGGCTTCGTCGTGGCTCATATGGGGCCTCCATGCATTTCTGAAGGGAGTACCATAGAAAATCGACTAAAAATCTAAAAAATATTTCTTGTTAGATTTTGATGCAGATTTGTGGAGAATCGATCTACGAATCATTTAAGGTGTTCCGTGGTTGAATCAGATGCCTATTATGTACTAGAAAAGGACGTTTCTGGGATTGTCCAGAAAGATTTTTTATTACTTACATTTCGTTAAAATATTAAAATGAATTTGGTATTTGAATTTAAAAGAAACCTTGTTCATTTTTTTAATACACCATTCTTTTTAACCTTCGCGTCTATATTTGATAAAGATTCTTTTTCTCAGTTTTTCCTTTTGAGCAAAGCGACTTGAGCTTTAATTTTATTTAAATCCCGTGTGATTGCAGCACTCAAGGACGCCGTGACGCGGGCCAGCACCGAGGAGATAATCATTCCCTTCGGCATCGGCATCGCCGGCATGGTGGCGCAGACAAAGCAGATGATTAACATCAAGGAGGCCTACAAGGACGCGCGCTTCAACTGCGAAATCGATCTGAAAACGGGCTACAAGACGAACGCCATCCTCTGCATGCCGATTTGCAACTATGAGGGCGACATCATAGGCGTGGCCCAAATCATCAATAAAACGAATGGTAAGTCCTTGTAAGTGTAGACTGCCAGCTGCGAACTTAGACAGTGACTATTGCAGGTTGCATGGAGTTTGATGAACACGACGTGGAGATATTCCGCCGCTACCTGACCTTCTGCGGAATCGGCATCCAGAACGCGCAGCTCTTCGAGATGTCCGTCCAGGAGTACAGGCGCAACCAGATCCTGCTCAACCTGGCGAGGAGCATTTTCGAGGAGCAGAACAACCTGGAGTGCCTGGTCACGAAGATCATGACCGAGGCCCGGGAGCTGCTCAAGTGCGAGCGGTGCTCCGTGTTTCTGGTGGATCTGGATTGCTGTGAAGCGGTAAGAAGGGAGTTCAAAGGTTACAGGATAAGTTCTGGCTGAATTGAATGGGTTTCCCCGTCGATGGCCATCGATTCAGGACATGAATTTAATTACCCGCCATGTTTCAGTCAATTGAAAAGCCGGCCATGCAAATGATTTACCAGAGAGGTGAAGCGGGCGGGGGGATCGCCAATGCTTGCCCCAATGTGGGGCATGAATTAAAAAGTGACGCCCTGCGGTGCCTGCGGTCACTCCTTCCCGGCCAGAGTCTGTGTTGGCGTCCGCATCCGCGCTGTCAGATCCATTAAAAATTTTTAAACGCCAACGCGTCGGTCATTTGCTTGACTTTTTGTGTATTTTTTGCGGCGACCTCGCCGGGCACCCCGAGGAAATTAAAATGTGCAATTTACATTTCGTTTCTTGCGACACCACTGTGGCCGGGTGGGCGGTGTCATGTGGCGTTTTGGGGTTCACAATAAACAAGTGTCAGCCACGGCAGAAGTTCTGAGGAGCATGTGGGTGGTCACGCCGTGGGGATACGGTGAATTATGTCCTAGCAAGGATCTCGTTGATTGCCTGTCATTACTTAAAGGCTCTTGGTTGAGCTGTCCATTCAAAGTAAACAAAGAAGCCCAAAGATAGAGTAGGAATGTGCAAGGACATTATTTTTAAAAGACGTTTGCAGAATTTATTTAATAACCGAGAAATTGGATCGAGCTCTCCGGCTATTTTGGCCAACCAGCCTCATGAATAATTCCTTGTGGACTTCCACGCAAAAGCATTTTAATGAAATGCCCGTAAGGGGAAACAGACGCATTGCTTCCGCCTGAGTGTCCTAAAAACACAGTTTAATGCATTTCATACATAATCCTTGATTAATGCCCTGAAGCCTCCATAAATATCGAATCTATCCATGAACTCTTAATTAGCTTGACCAGAGCCTCCTCTTTCCCACCGCACTTGAAGAGTGCCGGACAACACGATGATTGTTTAATTCGTGAAATGGCAGTCCAAATTATCCATTGCAAGGCGTATGCAGGGGGTGTAATGGCCAATTCATTAGCCCATAAAGCCTGGCCGCCCCAAAGGGCTCGGCAGCGGGGGCGGCCACACCAAAGCGCTCTGAAAACTTGGCTGACATGCCCGTCATGTGCAACATGTCAGCTTAATTATGCTCGGGAGGGAAGGTTGCAGGTCTGCTGGCGAGCTTGCTTTACACTACACTACACTGGGCGAAAAGATGAGCAAAATTTTATGAAAGTACTAGCTTTTTTAACTGCCAACCCCGATTAAGAATTCAAGATAAACCAGGGGCTCAACATGGAAAATTCCGTTAAGGAATTGGACTTTAAGAACGTGTTTCTCTAGGTGGATGTGCATCTATCAAAAAGTTTGGGGCAGGAACTGTGCTGACTCCCGTTAGTGGCAACACTTAATGATCCTCTTCCTTTCTCCACCAGAGCCATTTGGAGAAGATAATTGAGAAGCCCAATCAGCCGGCCACCCGCGCCATTAAGTCGGCTGACAGTTTCGAGGAGAAGGTAAGTCCATTGCATTGGGATGAGTTCTATTCTGAAATGGTTCTGTCAGCAGAAAATGCGCAACCGCTTCACCGTGCTGTTCGAGCTGGGCGGCGAGTACCAGGCCGCCAATGTTTCGAGGCCTTCCACCAGCGAACTAAGCACCTCCACGCTGGCCCAGATTGCCCAGTTCGTGGCCACCACCGGGCAGACGGTTAACATCTGCGACGTCCACGAGTGGGTGAGGGAGCACAACCAGATCCGGGCCGAGAGCGAAATCGACAGCACCCAAGCTATTCTCTGCATGCCCATCGTAAACGCCCAGAAGACGGTGATTGGTGTGGCCCAACTCATCAACAAGGTGCTACCCACACCAGAAATGTATGCCACAAGCTATAGATCCTTCTTTCTTTCCTCAGGCTAACGGCGTCCCCTTCACCGAGTCCGATGCCTCGATCTTCGAGGCCTTTGCCATCTTCTGCGGGCTAGGTATTCACAACACCCAGATGTACGAGAACGCATGCAAGCTCATGGCGAAGCAGAAGGTGGCCCTCGAGTGCCTCAGCTACCACGCGACCGCCAGCCAGGATCAGACGGAAAAGCTCACGCAGGACGCGATTGCGGAGGCAGAGACCTACAACCTCTATAGCTTCACTTTCACAGGTATTTCTTACCAAACTGTCTCTAATTTTTAAATAGGTGTGTGGTCAATAAAATATAATGGCTTTCAGACTTTGAGCTGGTCGATGATGACACCTGCCGGGCTGTGCTTCGGATGTTTATGCAGTGCAACCTGGTTTCGCAGTTCCAGATACCCTATGACGTGAGTCTACAAACCGTTGTTAATATGTGAACCTATAAACAATTGTTTTTAATATATTTTAAGGTACTTTGCCGCTGGGTTCTAAGTGTGCGAAAGAACTACAGACCTGTCAAGTACCACAACTGGCGGCACGCTCTGAACGTGGCCCAGACCATGTTCGCCATGCTCAAAACTGGGAAGATGGAGCGCTTCATGACTGATCTGGAGATCCTGGGACTGCTGGTGGCCTGCTTGTGCCACGACTTGGACCACCGCGGCACCAACAATGCGTTCCAAACCAAAACCGAGTCTCCACTAGCCATTCTGTACACTACCAGTACGATGGAGCACCATCACTTTGACCAGTGCGTCATGATTCTTAACTCGGAGGGCAATAATATATTCCAGGTAAGATGTGCGTCATCTCATTCTGTTTCCCAAATAAAAGTTATGGGTAAACATAAAAGTATTAGAGCAGAAAGTGCTCAAAGGTCGCACAGCTGGTTTTGAGAAAAGTGGACCTGATGCTGGAGCAAAAGCGGTGTGAGCCGGGTTTTGGCTCAATAGTTCAGAATAATAATAAAACTAATTAAACACGAAGGAATCTACTATCATAACGCAAAGGATAGTGGTGAGGAAATATCAGAAACCATTCGAGATTGTCAACAAAAGCCTTTGGATATCAGCTTTAACCAACCACTTGCTTGACGGATAACCAATACGTCATCAGCTTTATTTTCAACAGATTTATTTTATTTCAAACAGATTATAAAAGATTATGTGTTTAACCCCGGACGAGGCGGGCGTTGCGGCCCTTACTCTTCTTGTTCAGCTTGCGGTTCTTCGACTTGCGGTTGGCCTTTGCCTTTGCGGCCCTCTTGGCATTGAGGCGGGCCTTGCGAGCCTTGGCGCGGGCACTCTTGGAACTCGTGGAGCTCGTGGTGGTAGTGCCGATCCTGATCCTCCTTTTTGCCGTGTACGTCAGACCACTGATCCTCACAATCTTGCCTGTGCCGGACCCGGAGGTAGAGGTTGACGTGCTGGCCTCCGTGGTAGTAGTGGCATCCGTGGTAGTGGTTGTCGAGTTGGAGGAGGCTGCCCTGGTCTGGGCCACGAACAGGACCACGGCGAGGGCGAGGAGAACGGTGGACAACTTCATGTTGGATGTTGGATGCTTTAATCGAAAGTGATATGCCTTTTGCCGGAAAAGGCGCGCTTTTATAGTGAAATCATAATTAGCCACTGGCCTTCAGTTGGCAAAACCTACTTCGCTGCAGAGCCAGCATACCCCGCCTTGACTCCGATACGAGGTGAACCTTTGTTTGGACACATGTCTAGGCAAACCAACAACGTCACCGCTACAAGTGTTTTGAGAATAGATTCTATTTTGGGCTTAGGCTTTATCAGAAACTCTGTTTGGCTAATTCCAGGCCCTGTCCCCCGAGGACTACCGCTCCGTGATGAAGACTGTGGAGAGCGCCATTCTGTCCACCGACCTGGCCATGTACTTCAAGAAGCGCAACGCCTTCCTGGAGCTAGTGGAGAACGGGGAGTTCGACTGGCAGGGCGAGGAGAAGAAGGACTGTGAGTGCAAACGAACAAGGGCCTTCTCTTAAGATGATATTCTAATCCTTAATTTTCAGTACTTTGTGGAATGATGATGACGGCTTGCGACGTCAGCGCCATCGCCAAGCCATGGGAGGTGCAGCACAAAGTGGCAAAGCTGGTGGCCGACGAGTTCTTCGACCAGGGCGATCTCGAGAAGCTGCAACTAAACACGCAACCAGTGGCCATGATGGACAGGTGAGCTCATTGTCCTAAACAGATAGTTAGTTTCAACAACATTGATTTTCAGGGAGCGTAAGGACGAGCTTCCCAAGATGCAGGTGGGCTTCATCGACGTGATCTGCCTGCCGCTGTACCGAGTCCTGTGCGACACCTTTCCCTGGATCACGCCCCTTTACGAGGGCACCCTGGAGAATCGCCGCAACTGGCAGGACCTGGCCGAAAAGGTCGAGATGGGGCTCACCTGGATCGACCACGACACGATCGACAAGCCGGTGGAGGAGTTCGCGGCCTGCGCCGACGAGGAGATTAAGGACATTGAGTTCACAGTCACCACGCTGAATTGCAACCAGTCCCAACAGTCCCAGCACGGCAGCGAGGACAGCCACACGCCGGAGCACCAGCGCAGTGGCTCCCGGCTCAGCATGAAGAAGACCGGAGCGCTGGGCAAGGCGGTGAGGTCGAAGCTGTCGAAGACCCTCTACAACAGCATGGACGGGTCGAAGCCAAAGACGTCGCTGAAGCTGCTGGAGTCCCATGTCAGCGAGGACATGGACGACAAGAGTCCTACGAGTCCCTCGCAGCCTCAGGCGTCAGGCAGTATGGGCCGCATGTCCGCCTCCTCCTCGACCTCCTCCGCAGGCGGCCAGGGCCAGTGCCAGATGGCAGCGGCAGGTCAAGCCCAGGACAAGTCCAAGAAGCGCTCCAAGCTCTGCGCCTTGTTATGACGAAAGCCGTCCAATTAGAACATGGCAACTCCCTCCAGCACAACTCCGGGCAGTGAGACTGACCCGAAGAGTGCCGGAGGGGGGCTGACCGAGTTCTAATTGGATTTCGTCGTCGATTTGGAAGTAATTAAGTAACGTAATGGGAATCTTGTTGCTCTACTTGCCGACTTTGTAGGCCGATACCCAGTACCCTATTTTTTAGCAAGGCGAAGGAGCTAAACTCAATGGCGTTGCTTTGGATGGGCATCTCGACAAGAGCGCGTACTATAACTATCCTAGACCCAAGAGGACGGAGCGGGAAAAAACACAGTTGCAATATTAAGCATTAAGTGAATGTCAAAACATGTGATCTATTTAAGGTCCGGAAGGCGCCGAAGATAGTCCTCGTTGGGGAACCTTCTGGCGGATACTATCCTTTTATCTAGCGTCTGTCTATCGCTTCTAGGCTACAGGATGCCACGATTCTGTAGCAAATACTAATTAGAACTATTACTAGCTAAGAAAACGTAGAAAACCCAACCAAATCGTGCTAGTCAGAGCGTATAAAATACTATGAACACTATATGGAGCACCTACTATCCTAAGAGGCTATGTCCCAGGCATCGGACACCTGCGACCGGCTTGAGTCTACTTTACATAGCTAATTGAATTGTATTTACTTAGAAACTTTGAGTATAGCAATATTATATGATACTCCCGAGAATAACGAATTGCAGATGAATGAGAACATTTCGTATCACTGTTTAACTGTATAGATATATAAATATTAGCTTATTGAAGACGGCAGTCAATTTTTGAACTCAAACACAAGCATACGAATACGAATACGCGCACATTCGGTTGAAACGAATAATCCAGTCCGGTCCCTCACTATTTTCAGATTAATGGAGTTTACTTTATCAGTGTGTACAGAGCAGGTTTATAAACCTTAGCAGATAAACATAAACTAATATATAAAATATATGCGAAGCGAAAGTTTAAAGAATTGCATGTAACTACGGATAGAATTGCAAAGAATAACTCATTATTTTTAGTCACTTTCTGCGTGTGCTAATCAAAATTTGGCTGCTTAAGGTCAACTAAAGTTGTAATTGTCGGATCCTACTTCCCAGTTATCGGGTCACTCTCAAGAAAATCAAATAACGTTCCCTGTCTCTGATTTGCCTACCAATTAATGTGCATACCTCTGATCGTTTTGTTAATTGTTTCTGTTACCCACGACGATTAAAAGTTGTTCACATTAGTTTTCCTAACTATTTAAGACTTGCAATTGAATCAAAATAAATCACACCATTGAGAACTACTCAAAAATGCCTCTTTATGATTTTAAACAATTAAACTTATTTGCTTTAGGAGCAAATTCTTCGGGTGGATAGAAAATTTAAAAAACAAATGGGGTGTAACTTTGCTTTATTTATGTTTTAATGCTCTGAGTTATATTTTTTAAGTTTTGCGCCCATATTCAGTGTTGTCTTATGTCACAGAGTATTTGATATCGAACTGGCCGAGATAGTCTGGCAGCCCCATTTCTTCCAGTGTTGGACGTCGAATTTAGAATAAAATTCCAATGTTGGTCAACATTTATTGGCAAACAGGTGGTAAGGAGCTGTTTTGTTTAGAATTTAAAAGATTCTGCCACAAATGTCATCCTCCGACGAAGAAGCCTCATCAGCTACCGAGCATGAGGACAGTGGCGATGACGAGACTCAAAATGCCATTCGGGATGACCTGAAGGGCATGTCGTTTGAAGAGATCATGAAGCTGAAGGAGGAACTAGGTGCTAGGGTGTATAAGGAGGCAGTCCTGGGGGCCCAGGGCTCCAAGGAGACTGCCCGAAAGCCAAAACCAAAAACGGAGCTCAAGCGCCTAAACAAAAACCGACCCCGCGAAATGAGCTCCAGGCGCCAGGTGCCCTTTCTGGGCGCCGACCAGCGGGCGGAGCGCAAGAAAGGCGCCACCGAGGTCCGAGATCCCCGGTTTGACGAGAAGTCGGGCACCTACAACGCGGATACTTTTAAGAAGAACTACCAGTTTGTGTCGCAAATCCGTAAAAAGGAGGTTGGTCAACTTAAGAAGCAGCTGGACGAGGTGGAGGATCCCCAAGAGAAGCACCAAATCAAGGACACCATGCAGAGGCTGATAAACAAGAACGTGGAGGACAAACGGTGGCACACCAAACAAAAGAAGGTGAAGAAGGAGCTCGCCGGTATCCAAAAGAAGCACAACCAAGGACAGCAGCCCCACTATCTCACAAAGAGTAGGTTTTAGTCCGTCTTCCTTTTACTTTTTTAATGCTTTTCCACTTCATGTAGAGGAGCGCCGTGCTAAAGAGTTAGTGGCCCAGTTCGAGCAGCTAAAGAGCACAGGAAAACTGAACAAGCACCTGGAGAAGAGGCGCAAGAAGAACGCAGCCAAGGATCGCAAGCGCATTGGCATAGACTAAGTTCATCCTTTAAGAATAAATGTATTTCTCATAGAAACAAGACACAAGGACTATCCTGTACGCAACATCTTGGCTTCTCGCTTCTCCTGAAGCTCACGCCGCTGCTCCTCGACAATGACTTTGCGCTCCTCCAGGAACTCTCCATAAGCTGCAGGGTCCAGGTCTCTGACCACCTTGATGCCGCACGTCCGCGCAATGCTGATCAGCATCTCACACATTTGCTAAAACGAAACAGATTTTCTCAAATACGATTCTTTTTATTGATCTCTCGTATAGTCACCTGCATGGTAAGTAGGGCGTTGGGTGGGTCCTGGATTTTTATGGCCGCGATCTCGTATAGGTGCTTTAAAGTGATCATGCCCGCGACCTCCTTTCCCGGAGTCATGGTCCCCCGCTGGATTCCAGCAGCCTGCTTGAGAAAGAATGTGGCCGGCGGGTGGTGGATGACGAGGTCGTAGCTGCGGTCGCTGTTCACGGAGATCCTGCAGGGCAGCGGAACTCCCTCCTTCATCTCCGCCGTCTTGGCATTGAAGTCCTTGCAGAAGGCGGCAATGTTGATGGCACGCTGTGGGAACACTGGGATTAAAGCTTCTGATTTCCGCATTAGCCGGTGGCTAGACGCACCTGTCCCAGCATGGGTCCCAGTGGAGGACCGGCAGCAGCCATTCCAGCCGGAATGTTCGTCTTGAGCTTGCTGGTGTGTGTCACCCGCTCTACTGTCTTTTTCAGGGACTTTAGTTTGCCCGCAGCCTTCGACATTTTAATTTATTAAATTGAGCTTCCAAATCGGATTCCAGATGTTATGCAAAGCGCCGTGTGTTGGTGGAGGAAGAAGAGGTTCGTGGCGGAGTTGCCACCTAGTTGTGATTTCTCCGTAAACAAGCTTCTGGTTTAGTTTCATGTTTACGTTTACGTTAATTAATGTATTTAATTTGTAAAATCAATTGAAAAGCACGCAAATGCTGTCAAATTGTTAAACATCAATCCAAATAATTCAAAATAACTTAAATTTTGCGAGCCATTTTCTGCTACCCAGTGCTGGTGTCGTAGCAGGCAGCTTTTGGGGGCCATTTGCTAAATTAAAATCAGCTGCCAGCTGAGACGTAAATAAATTTACGTAAATAACAGTAAACAGACAGAATTATCACAGAAACCGATGGCACTGCGCGGTTCTCACCGGCTGGACGTTTTCATACGGCGTTGCAGTGCGCTTAACCTGTTCCACAGACACGCTCCCAGTCGTAGAGTTAGCCACTGCGACAGGGATCAGCAAACAAAGCAGGACCAGCGGCAGCAGGACCGGAAGGAGCAGCAGGATAGCGGCGGCGGACACTGGGGCAGGTTTGGCTGGCGCAGTCTGATACGCTTCTTCGTGCCCTTCTCCCTGGGGGCGGTGGCCAGCTCGTTGGTCATTAAACGGGAGGAGCTCACCCCCACTCTATCCGCCCGGGCTATGACCGGACGCCGGCGGGACTTCAACTTCATTGCAGAAGTGGTGGCTGGCTGCGCGGATTCGGTGGTCTACATAGAGATCAAGGACACGCGGCACTTTGACTACTTCAGCGGGCAGCCCATCACGGCATCCAACGGCTCCGGCTTCATAATCGAGCAGAACGGCCTGATCCTCACGAACGCCCACGTTGTGATCAACAAGCCGCACACGATGGTCCAAGTGAGGCTCTCCGACGGCAGGACCTTCCCGGCCACCATCGAGGACGTGGACCAGACGTCTGACCTGGCGACCCTCCGCATCCAGGTAAGCCATGCCCTGCCACAACTAGTCTTCGTAAACTTTACAAATTTCCGTTCCAGGTGAGCAACCTGTCGGTGATGCGCCTAGGCAAGAGCAGCACGCTGCGCTCCGGCGAGTGGGTTGTAGCTCTGGGGAGCCCTCTGGCCCTGAGCAACACTGTCACGGCAGGCGTAATCAGTTCAACGCAGCGCGCGTCCCAGGAACTCGGCCTGCGGAACCGGGACATCAACTACTTGCAGACGGACGCGGCCATCACGTTCGGTAACTCTGGTGGGCCCCTGGTCAACCTGGATGGTGAGGCTATTGGCGTTAACTCCATGAAAGTGACGGCCGGCATCAGCTTCGCCATTCCCATTGATTACGTGAAGGTGTTCCTGGAGCGGGCGGCCGAGCGCCGTAAGAAGGGCTCTGCCTACAAGACTGGCTATCCGGTGAAGCGCTACATGGGCATCACCATGCTGACCCTGACGCCGGATATCCTCTTTGAGCTCAAGTCACGGAGTCAGAACATGCCAAGCAACCTCACCCACGGGGTGCTGGTGTGGAAGGTGATTGTGGGTTCACCGGCCCACAGGTGAGTTGATCTGTAATCTGTGATAACAACTAACGCCCCCCCTCTGTCTTCTCTAGTGGTGGTCTCCAGCCCGGTGACATCGTGACCCACATAAACAAGAAGGAGATCAAGAACTCCTCGGACGTCTACGACGCTCTGGCCGACAACAGCAAGAACCTGGACGTTGTGATCCTGCGCGGAGTGAAGCAAATGCACGTCACCATTACGCCGGAAGATCCCTAATGAAGGCTGAATCCTAGTTCCCACAGTTCCCACTCCCACGCCGTCCTCCCCTTCTCACCTGTTGTTCTAGATCAATGACGATATTGTGTTCCTTTGTTTTGAAATACATATATTTGTAAATGAAACTAATCCCGCAGCTCGTTCGGGACCTGCCTATATTTGTCGCTGGCTAACGAGCTGGGGCATTTGCATAGATCGCTATGAATGGACTCGCTATTGGAGCGGGCCTGGATCTGGTGCTATAATAAATGTATCTCTTACCATCCGAGTCCATTTCCGAGACCGAACATCATCGATTTCTCTTTCGCGGCCCGCTCCATGTGCGTGCTGGCGATCCCATCCGACGACGACAAAAATGTATTTACGCTAATTGAAATATCTTGCGTTGCGATCAATCGATGCCATATTTTTTATAGGCCAACTTCGGCGCAGGCGATGGGGCCAGGGCTGGGGAGCTGCAACTGCAACTCCTCGGACGTCGTCTTCGAAAACCGAAATGCAAATTTCAATAAATTTATGCAACTGAATTCCCAGTGCCTCACTTGGCCTTAGCTCGCATACCCTTTCTTGAAGTGTTGAGTCTTTTAGTTCCAGGACTGCGTTAAAACTTGATGCTAAGAATTTGCTTCTATAAGCTAGTCTTCCTTGCGATTTAATCCCTCAACAGTGACATCCTCCGAGAGGGCATACAGGCTTCGGATTGTCGATCTGAACCTTTATTACCTTTTATTTTCTTTGTGGGTGACAAGACAGACGATTCCCAATGTTGCTGCTGTGCCGTTGCTGTTGCTGTTGCTGTTGCCGTTGCTGATGTCTTGTTGCTGCTGTCGTTGCGTGAAAAGTGAAATTCTTGCGATTATTAATTTTATTTTCGCTTTTGGCGATGCTACGCTTTTTCAGCATGGCATATAAATTCGGATATTGATTCGCATTGTTGCGGCTGTCGTTGTTTATGTGGCAGCGGCCTTTATGACATCGTTGGCACTAAGTTACCTTTATTGCTTATAAGCCGCACGCATAAATGCAGCTTAAAGTTCATAAATTTGCCAATATTCACTCGGCCAGGGGTTAAGCAAACGTCGTCGTCGTCGACCCTCTCCTCGCTCCTCGGCGATCGTGTAAACACTTTTTACTTTATGCGCCGGCGCCCCACGCTCTTCGGTCTTGGCACTTTCTTCTGCCATTCCAGCCGTTTACTGCCTTCGTTTTCATTTCGGCTCCAATCCACTCCGCCACTTTTCAGTTCGGGTTCGGTTTCGGTTTTCCTGAAGCGGCGCCGACTAATTGAAATATTTAAAATGCATAAAAGTATCGCATTTAAGCTTTGCAATTAGTTTGCGGTGCGCAGTACTGCGGATGTGTTGTTGGTTGTTTGTTTTTGCGGTGCGCTTAAATTACAAACCTGTGAGAAATTTAGTCGCTGTTTTGGTTTCTCTGCGAGTTACTAGAGGCGCTATGGGGGGTTGGGGAGTATGATATCTAAATAATATTTAATATAATCCTTAAAGAGCCTCTCCTTAAATTGGGAGTTTCAGGATAGGTACCCATCAGTAGTCAAGAATTGGGAGTCAAACCTTTTCAAGACTCTTCCTCCTTAATAGTAGGTCTCTATTATGGGGGATTTGGGAAGTAGGGCATATAGCTCATGAAGAGCATCGCTTTAATGTGATAATGTCAGGATAGGAGGATCAGTGTTTGAATCCTCATACCCCTTACATAATAGCTTTTCAAAAATACCACAAACTTTCAGTAGCGGCTCAAAACCTGGCCCACTGAGGCTCGGCCGTTCGTGATTCGGCTTGGCTCGGGCCTGTCTCACACTTTCTTAAAAGGCAGCAATTATCAGTGGATCGGTCAAAGGGCCTCTTTGGTTTTCGCAAGTCTAAGCAACAACCATTGAACAGTTTTGATGAGGGTCGTCCGGGCACTTCCCAGTTTGATTGAGTTATTAAACGAGCCGGTAATTGCGGAGTCTCGAGTCCAAAGACGATGATTTGTCGCGTTAACCCAGAAACGTCAGACTGGAGATTTTGCACGTGTAATTACTGCCTTGGTAGTTGTTCTGCTTTGTGGGCTTAGGTTTTCGGTTTTAGGTTTTAGGTTTTAGGTTTTAGGTGACCCCATCAGACACCTAAATCAGGCGGCTTTCTCGCGATCCGCTGTTCCCATGAACTGCTCACATTTAAGCATATTGGCAGGCATTGGCAGGAAAGCGACGCGACTCTCGTAATAGCAGCTCCACAAGCACAACAAAAACATGCTAAACACTAAAGTTCATGACACACAACTGTAAAATGTTTCAGCCCCAAACTTTTACCGCCGATAATAAATGGCTGCGACTCTGCGCCCCAAAAGTTCAAGACATTATCGCCGTCGTCCCGCATGTGAAAAGTTCTCCTCTAAAGAGCCGGACAAACGGACTCGGAAAAGACACTCGAAGAATAGGAGTATCGTATGGGACCAATGTATGATGTACTTTTCTTCCATAAATTGCAGTTTATTTTTCAGTGCAGGAACTGAGCCATGGTCAGGAAGTGGAGGAGTGGAGGCTGGCTTAGATGAAAACGAAGCCAAGAGCAAGAGCTTAAGCCTCGAACCCGACTCTGGCTCGGCCATCGGCCAATGCCACGGGCCATAAATCACTTTAATATGCCAAAAGTTACATAATAATTCTGCCAGACGGTTTGGAGGAGGGGGTGGATCCGCCGATCGGCAGATCCGCAGAGGCCGCATCCAGCGGCATTAATCAGACACTGGGAATGAAGCCATTGCCCGAAAATTGAAATGCGTTTTAATGGCGATTTGAGCGGCGTGCCAAATAGCGATTGCTGCGAGAGGGGGCTGGGCTGGGCTGGGCAGCTCGATTGCATTAAATCAACAGATACATAAAAATGAAAAACACGAAAAATTATGATGATTACGCGGAAATGTGTGGCAACTGTTTGTGGCCACTGGGCACTGGGCTGCAGTGCTTCGTGAAATTGCACAAGTGCTGGGAATTGCTGAATTATGGCGCTCAGCTTTTCCAGCCTGGCCGGCTTTTTACTATTATTTTATATTTTGTTTGGCCCGCCGCAGGGCGCCTTGCAGTTTTCGTGAACCGCTTGGGAAACTGCCCAGGTCCAAGACCCGGCCTAGGCCCAAGTGGGTCAGTGTACACATCTGGCTTTTGGCTTCGTTTTCGGTTTCTGTAGTGTTGCCCAAATATTTGCGCCGGCGCAAGAGTCATCATCATTAATTTCACCTGCTGGAAAATCATCTCTGTTTATGAGTGTGTTTTCGTTATTTAGGAAAATCCATCAATTAAGCCGCGCTCGCGAAACGCTGCCGTGCATGACGGGAAAAACAAGCTTCTAATCTGATCCGAGATCCGAGCTGGCCGCTCGAACTACTCGATCTGTCCCCTCGTAGATTGATTGATTCGTCAGCGGCCGGTCAGTGACAATCCCACAACAAATCCCAAGATTTATGTCGCATGTCTTCTGACCATTTACAGACAAATTATGCATAGGCATTGGGGCTCAGCATCGTTTGGAATGATGTCATCGCCTCGATCAGCTCGATCAGCCCCGAAATGCTGACCGCGATCTCTGCCGCGGATTACACCGTTTTCGGATTAGAAATCGGGCCACCTGATCATTTAATTGTTGCGATTTTTTACAAAATTGAAACGTCTTCCGGCTTGCAGAGCTGGGAGCTCAAGAGCTGCAGAGTCGAGACAAACGATGTGTGCCCCGAAATTAGTTTTTCGCATGCTGCCTGGCCCGAGGCGTGAAAAGATTTTCGCATGCAAGGTGCGGCAAGACAGAAGGAGTAGCTGCAACAGCGCTGCAACATTGGCAACAGCAAACACAGCCACTGGCAGAGCGGCAAGTGTTGCTCTAATTTATAAAATGTTTTCTGCTACCAATTCAGCGGACGGAGAAAAGAGTCTGAAGTCTCGACAAAGGATACCGAATGGGATGTACCCTAGAAGAAATTTTTTATAAGGGGGGGCATACAAAAGTTTAAATGACTTAAGGAGTAACGTTTCATACTCTGACTGCCTGACTGACTGCCAAAGTAGTCCAGATTCCGCAGCCCAGTCCAGGGTATTTCCCACAAATTAATTGCCTTGCGGTTCTCACACACTCTCCATACTCGTCTGGAGGAACGGCAGAAATTTCACTTCTATAGAAATTCCGGAGCCCGGCGCAGAGCTTGGGGCTCTTCGCTTTACACTTTTTCCCACTTGCTGTCGTTTGGCTAGGCTTCTTGTTTGTGCTGCTGTGCAGCCGATGGTGCTGCTGTGATCTTGCTTTTGTTTATTACGCACGACACGCCACAGTCACCCGCCCGCCCACCGTTTACGATTGCCGTCACATATTTTAATTAAACGCCAGGCCAGGCCTTAGAGCCGAATATTCCCCGTCCATTAATTGAAATTACAAAACAAGACGATAATATCTGGCCGCCGCCTTGCGGTCTACTTGGTTTGTTTTGGCAATAATTCGTATCTCTGCTATTTACGCGAAGATGTTACGCCGCTAACAATGAAAGACTTTCACTCCCCCGACGCGGGCCAAGCACAGAAGGCGGATGAGCCGCAAGTTTACGACCCCGCCGCCTGGTAGCTCGGGCTTTATGTTCTATTGCGGCCATAAAGCAGGCCAGTCCAGGCCGAGCCGGTAAGATATTGCACGGCCGCGATGAGTGGCTCGAATCGAGTTCGTTGCCTGAGTCTTTTGTTTGGTGTGAAATGTTTGCCGGCGTTTGGGGTTTGCGTGGGTCGCTGGCCCATCGGACTATCGGTCGGACCACTTTCGAGCGCGCCATCAATCAATTGCCAATTGTTAATGCAAATTGAATGCTGTTTTCATAAACAACATCCAAATAAATGCGAGACGTCATTAATTTCAGCGCCGGAGCTCCAGAGAGCCGGCGAGCCAGATATCCAGAAAGCCACAAAGCTCCCCGAATCAAGTCGAGCATTTGTCTCATCGCTTAAACATTTCAATTTCACTCGCACAGCGCGCTCTGTGCAGTTCGAACTTGTAGTTTCTTTTATTTATGGCTACTAAATTACGTATCCGTGCTGCAGTCCCGCCGCGGCCAGTGCCGGGCTTTGATTAATGATCTCGCCCGG